CTTGCACTTTAAATTCTGATTACACCACATCTACAAGCACTATTTTACTTACTTATTATTACTTTCTTTTAAGTTAGTTTTTAGTCTTTTTAGTTGTGTGAAGGGAACATGCAAAGTAAGAATTTCATTAGTCTGTGTAACCAATTGTGTTTTGCAGTGTACATGACAATAAATTTCTTAAACCTCGAATCTTGAAAAAGGGTCATTCAAGGTCCTCCTTTCATATTGATAAGACCATTATGACAATATTTTTTTTAAATCTTTTATTGAGTCAGTTTTATCTTTTTCCTTGGTGTTGTGGCGACCTGTCTTTGAAGAACAGGAACAAACTGAGTCAAACTGTAAACTGGTCAGGGCAGCTGATTGGTAAATTGCAGCTTAGCTTAGAGTCGATGTATACCAGACAGTTGCAAAGGATGGCCAGCTCTTAAACGATGATTCCCATCCCCTGTGGGATTTTTAGCTTTTCCAGAGGGAAAAAGCTGAAAAGCTATTGCAAATTGTGCACTTAATTTAAATGTATTTATTAATTTATTACATTTTTTTTGGCCTTTTTATAGTATTTATTTGTTTGGGGGTTTGAAGCTGTGATTTTATTGAAGCCTGGAGAATGCTCTCTTTCACTCTGTATGTGAAGCCAGTGTGTCCAGTGTCTGGTTGATGGGTTGCCTGCTCTTTTAACTGCAAAAGAAATCTACCTAAGGGCATCAATAAAGGAACCTGAACCTTCTCATACTAGCTCATCTATTGCTTTGTTGTTCACCACTTCACTGCTTTACTCTCATGGATGCTGCATTTTTGTTGGCATTATTACTTCCTCTGAATATTGATTGTGCCGCACTCTCAGAAATTGTACTAGGTTCATTGACTTTCAATATGGGAAATGGGAAATAGGTACAGCAATTTACTGAAAGATGGAAATACAGTATAAAATGCAAAAACAGACTTTTCACAATTCTAATGAACTCAAAAGTCAGTATTTGCAAACTCTATCTTCATTCTTTAATAT